CCGCAACACAATGTTTATAAATTCTCTAAGATGTAAGTTGAGAGAGAAAGAACGAAAGAGTCGATCTCGTAAGAGATGTTATTATACGAGAGAGAGATAGCATATTCTTCCTGCCAATGCTTAAAATAAACCGAAATAATAGAAAGCTCCTCGAATAGATTAAACTAACAGTAAGATTTGAAACGGCACATAAGGAGCCGTTAATATTATATAATAATATTAATATGATTGTGGGAGGATAAAATTGTCCAGTATGTTAATATTAATATTAAAAAGTAATATTAGTATTTAATAGCACTAAGACATCCGTGCTTGCTCCTTATGTGCCGTTTCAAATCTTACTGTTAGTTTAATCTATTCGAGGAGCTTTCTATTATTTTGGTTTAATAATTATTTACCTCACATGCGACTGTGATTGGTCTATTTCTTGAGACAATATTGGTTAAATAAGAGGCGATATCCATTTTACAATATTGGACCAATGTTGGGAAATCAATTCAACCCACGATGCTATTTGCGACTTATTGTAGATCGGCCTTAATAATATACTGCAATACATAACATGGTAATATTTTTGAAATATTATAGTAATATATCTCAGTCATACTACGCACTCCAATATAATACAATATTACAGAAATATTATATAATGATATATCCCCAGTAGCATAAAATGTTGGCGCAATATTAGGAAATTATGTAAATTCAATGTTAAATATTGAGTATGAATTGTGTGATTTCCCAATATTGGTCCAATATTGGGATATCGTAAAATGGATATCGCCTTTTATTTAATCAATATTGGTCAACAATATTGGTCCAATAGCATTGGGCAAATGTTAAATAATAATATTTACTTCATTTTTCACGTTGGACATTAATTGGATCTTAATGTAAAACTAATCCCAGTAAATGCTAGATATTCCTGGAAAATTTATAAAATATTCCTAAAATCCAAAATTAACATTCCAGGAATATCCCAAAATATTACGGAATATTCATAAAATTTACAAGGAATATTCAAATAAGCGCAAAAAATTCCACTTTTTACAAATATTGGCGAATTGGTTGAAATGAAGAAATTAATCAGCGTTTGCTGATTTTACTTGAAATTTAAGATTACTTGATTATATCACTTAAAAATTACCAAATATTATATCACTTAAAAATTTACACTAACACTGGGATTCGAACTTAGACCTGAAGCACCTTTGTGGATTATGAACCCAGATAGCCAAACCTGTGCGAGCAGATTTTACGCAGAGTCTGTCAACAGTGTCTGTTGACAGAATGGCAACAGACTGCACACAGAAACTGTTTTAGCAGTCTTTGACGACAGATTGGTGACAGACTGCGCGCAGAGCCTGTCGACAGACTCTGACGACAGACTGCCGGCAGATTGCGCGCAGATTCTGTTTCCTAGATAGGCTATTTAATTCTATCAAGGGCCATATATACGTTATTAAATGAGACAGTTTCACATACACACCATGTAAAACGGGAGCGGTGCACTTGGACACGGTGCATTTGGACACAGCCAATCACAGCACCGTGTGATTAGAGACATTTGTAGGGTCCCTTGGAACAGCGACTTGTGATTGGACTGTGTCCAATTGCCCCGTGTCCAACTGATATACACCCTGTAAAACTGCTGCAGAGGAGTCAAGATAATTATATTGTGCAATAATTGTACACATATACACAATAAAAAACAATGTTTACATTTTAAAA